GGAGAATGGGCACTCGATGTTTGGAAAGGTAGAGCAAGTGCATTTGCAGGTTTCTAAGGTTGGTGGTTCAATCCTACCAGCTGTTCTGTGGGAGAAACGATCTGGCGTTCTTCTCCCATAAAGATTACAGTCTAGGAAAACCCACAGGACAGTCCTACAAGATCACTATGAGTTGGAATCAACTCGGCAGCACACAATAATAACCCCCACCACCACCACAGGAGGGTGAGGAAGGAGGTGTGTGGTGGTGGCGGTAGTGTGCATGTTGACCTCTCTGCTTATCAATAAAACCATTGTACACTGATGGAAACAGAAAGACCTAAGCTAGAAATGAGAAACCCTGCTTTAGGGGAAGGAATTGTCGAGACCCAGTCATGGTTGGAAATCAACAAACATTTTAGAATTCTCATCAGCTAAAATATGAGGGGGTTTCAAAAAGTTTGTGGAAAAATGGAATTGAAAGATAATGAATTTTTCCACCAATTTTTCGAAGCCCCCCCTCCTCTATCTTTCAAAACCAAATCTTTGCCGTTGAGTTAATTCTGGCTCACAGGGTGGCTGTGAGAGTATCTCCCAGATGTTGTCAAATCTCTGCTTAGCATAGCAACTTGGGCTTGGTGCTCCCTGGTGTACCCTCCGCCATTATTTCCTGGATCACAGGCACACTGGTCCTGGAAACCCCTGCCCTTGACCTTGTCCCAGTTGGAGTTGGACAACATAAAGTCACTTATTGTCAGAAATCGAAAGCTGGTCAGCTAAAAGCCAGGGAAACAGACTCAACCAGGGAATTACTGACAGTCTGGACAAGCAGGCAGTACTCTCTGCTCTTAGATACATCGAGTGGGGTTTAAAGACTCACAACAGCTCCTTCTACCTACTTTCTTGTCCAAACCTGGACCTCAAAGGGGAGTCTATATCCTTATTTCTGGTTAGAAATCTTTGATTTTCTGTTCTCCATAGCCCATTCTAAAAGTCAAAATTCTTGAGGGGTTTTGAATTTTGATTTTAGAAAATGCTAGTTCATTTTATAAAATGCAAGAAAGAAAAAAAGTTTCTAACCCTGGGTGGTGGCTCCGGTTCATCACAGTTGCAGAAACACCGACAGCCCCTTTCTGCCTCTCTGCTGATATGACCATGGTGACCACTATGACCGAAGAGGCTGAAAACTTCTTCTTCTTTAAGACGTACGTTGACCATCTCAGTCTGAAAGACAGAAGAGGGATCACATACTAAGGGTAAGTGGTGGAAAACAGGGTCAAAGATGTGGTGTGTGTGTGGGGGGGGTTCAGGGTATGTAAAAAAATAAAGGGGGAAGCGGTTACTTCATTTAACAGCTTCTGCTTCAGGCGGTAAACATTTACAAACGTAATGGAGTTACAACACTGGAAGATTTTCACCCCAGGAATGTTCAAAATCTGTAAGATAAAATGTTAAGTTGAAGGAAACATCTCAGGTCTTTTGTAGACTAAGAAAAACAACCATTTAGGCTCAAATACCCAATCAACAGATGAATGGATAAACAAAACATGTCTGTGCATACAAAGAAATACGATTCTGCCATAAAGAGGAATGAGGTTCTTCTCACACTATGATATAGAAAGGCTTGAAGACATTGTTCGGAGTGAAATAAGCCAGAAGGTGGTTGTGGGGGTGGTATGCTATTGAGTTGGTTCTGACTCTGCTGTTGCTGCTGTATGCCATTGAGTGGAGTTCTGACCCATAGCGACCCTGTACAGGGTTTCCGAGGCTGTAAATCTTTACGGGAGCAGAACGCCTCATCTTTCTCCCGCGGAGCAGCTGGTAGTTTTGAACTGCTGACCTTGCGGTTCGCAGCCCAATTCGTAACTACTACGCTTCCAGAGCTCCTTGGTTCTGCCTCTATATGACACTAAAAATGAAACCAAATCGTCTACTGTTGCATTGATTGCAACTCATAGCAACACTATAGGATAGAGTAAAACTACCCCATAGGGTTTCCAAGGCTATAAATCTTTTCAAAACAGACTGCCGTATCTGTCTCCCATGGAACTGCTGGTGAGTTTGAACTGCTGACCTTTCAGTTAGCTTAACCCACCATACTAGCAGGACTTTTTATGAGGTATCTGTTGTTGTTGTTGTTGTTAAGTGCCTTCAAGTCAGTTCTGACTCATAGCGACCCTGCAGAGGGTTTCCAAGGAGTGACTGGTGAGTTTGGCTCTCCAAGCTTGTGGTTTATACCAACCTTGTGGTCCAGTGCATTATCCCACAGTGCAAATTTATTTTTTATATTTAGGCAAATTCATAGATATAGAAAGTAGAAGAATGATGACCAGGGACTAAAGGGGTGGTCCTGGTGGCACTGTAGGATAAGTGCTGGACTGTTTAAAATACATGGAATCCTTCACTGGCTGGCTGTAGTACTATCAAGATTTGCCCACTTCAGCGCTTGCCTCTACCTTCATGCATCCCTTCCCTTCCTTCCTTAATGGGTATCTGGAGTGCAGCAAACACCAGTGAAGCCACTCCATGGAAAAACTAAGCAGCATCCCTTAGGCACAGGAGGGATACTGATTAGATTCTTACCTCCCGATAGTCACTGATGCTCCTGTAAATGTTGGTGTTTGGGATCTGGCCCAGAAGGAAAATCTTAGTTCTGAAAGGAAATGACATTTCTCTTTAGATCGTAATTGACTTGCCTGACTATGCCTCACCTCCAATTCCCTGAGAGGAAATACCTGTGTGACCGAACGGTGATGATGAAGAAGGCAAAAGCTACTGAAATGAGCAGTCCAATGTCCAGTCCCAGGAAGACTGCAGATGTAAACGTCACCAGCCACATAAACTTATGGAAAATGGAAGACCATGAAAACAAACAGAATTCAAAAAATGACTAGTCGTATCTTTCAACTCACCTTCACCCCTTCCCTTCCTACACTCAAGAGTTAGAGAAAAATGCCCACAGCCATACGGACTGGTTCATCAGAAGAGGTGCTCAATGTTGTCGGTGCTGCCTAGCAACCCTTTTATGCACCATAAAAGTCATTTCTCTCTTCTACTCTCTTGCTAAACTTTAGTTTTCTCCTGTGCAAAAGAGGATAATAATTTCTACTATCTAGACTTTGTTGAGATTAGAAATACTGTTGGTAAAGTAACCCACAAAACACAACACTCTCAAAATGGTAGCTGCTCCTTTAAATTCTGTAAGGAGCTCTGGTAGCGGAGTGGTTATGAGTCGGGTTGTCAACCCCAAGGTCAGCAGTTTGAAACTACCAGCTGTTCTGCAGGAGAAAGATAAGGCGTTCTGCTCCTGTAAAGATTTACAGCCTAGGAAACCCCTATACAGGGTCGCTATGAGTCGGAACCAACTCTACGGCACATAACCACCATCACCACCACACCACTTTAAAGCTCTATTAACTATTGTTGTTAGCTGCTATCCAATTGTCCTCGACTCATAGTGACACTATGTATGATCTAACAAAATACTGCCCAGACCTGTGCCATGGATGACACTACTGTGATACACAGAGTTTTCACTGGCTGGTTTTTGAAAGTAGATTGTCAGGTTCTTCTTTCTAGTCTTAGTCTGGTAGCGCTACTGAAACCTGTTTAGCATCTTGGCAACTCACAAGCCTGCACTGACAGATGAGTGGTGGCTGTACATGAGATAGACTAGCTGGGAACCGAGCCCTGGTCTCTCTCATGGACAGTAAGAAGTCTACCAATGAACCCAGCATTGATCTCTAAGACCTATGATCTTGTTATCATTGTTAAGTGCCATCAAGTCAGTTCTGACTCTTAGACACCCTGTATAGGATTTCTGAGGAGTCACTGGAGGGTTTGAAGCGCTGATCTTGTGGTTAACAGTCTAGTGCTTATCCTATAGCGCCACACCAGGGAACCAAGACCTGTAATAGTTATGAAAAACTTTACAAATGTCCATCCTACTACCGTCTTCATCTTTCTTAGCAGGTGTCCTTACTTTGCAGAGAAAATTGGCTGGAACTACTTTAAATATTTATTTCCTCTTCCACATGCCACTTCTCAGTATCTGTACTCTACTGTCCCTCATTTTCTTCAGCCCTATTAGAAGTATTATCCTTCCTCCAATTCTACCTGTGCTCTGGACCACATCCCTTCTTAGCACCTCAGGCAACTGGCTTCAAAAGTCACCCCCTGTCCTATTTCTCTGCCTCCACTGAGGCCATCTCCTCTTACATTACACTTTCTCCATCTTTTATTTCTTGCTGTTTTTCCTTTCTGTCCTTTGGTTTCTGTGCTCCAACAGAAAGCTAGGTGTTCCGTGTGTTAACCCCTTGGCAAGGCACCTCCTTCTCCTGTTAGGATTTGGATGGCTTAGCACTATAGAATAAACACTTGACCACAAGGTCTATTTGAACCACAGAGTCGGTGGTTCAACTCACCAGCTGCTCCTCTGAAACTCTATACAGGGTGGCTATGAGTTGAAACTGACTCAACCACACTTAACAACAACAACAATCCTGGAATGAAGGAGCCCTGGTGGTGCAGTTGTTATGGTGCTTGGCTGCTAGCCAAAAGGCTGACAGTTTGAACCCACCAGTCATCTCCACGAGGAAGATGTGGCAGTGTGCTTCCGTAAAGATTCATAGCCTTGAAAACTCAATGGAGCAATAGTTCTGCTCATAGGTCTCTATGAGTCAGAATTGACTCATTGGCAGTGTTTTTTTTTTTGTTTTGCTTTTTTTTTAATGTGTAAACTCTAGAATGTGCATGTTAATGCTAACTAGATTGAATGCTATTCAAATGGTCAATGCCTGGCAATCCCTTTTTCTTAGATTTGTATATAGTTATATACAAATACATATAAACATGTTCTTTAGTAGCCACTAAAGGGAGTGCAAATGGTTAAGGTGCTTAGCTGCTAACCAAGAGGTTGGAGGTTTGAGTCTGCCTAGAGGTGCCTTGAAAGAAAGGTCTGGTGATTTACTTCCTGAAAAATCAGTCATTGGAAACCCTATGGAGCACAGCCCTCCACTGACATACACGGGATTATTGTGAGTTGGAATTGAGTTCCTGACAACTGGTTTGGTTCTTTGGCAGTCACTTAATTCCTCTTAGTTTTGCAGAGTTGGAACAAAGTCTTGCTATTTTCATATGCTGACAACTTCGACTCTCTCTTAAAGCAAAAGCAGAATACTAGGCATCCACGATTGTGTCTATGATACCTCTCTTTTGTTTGTTCTCGTTCCCTCTCTCTAGCCTTGCCCTTTGTCATTCTCTTCAGCAGTCAGTACATAAATACTCACACAATCATACTGGTCCTGCCTCCACAGGTTGGGTAAGTTGAACATAGTTTCAAAGTAGGGCATGACATTGCTTAGAATAATGCCAGCCAGCACAGCCTGTGGAGCAAAGATAAACCTTGCTTCAATTTCCGTTGGGCATGAAAACCTCTGAGTCCCCAGAGGAACCCAAAAAGGTTCATCAGTGGTGACAGAATAACCAGAATTAAAACAAGGAGAATATTGGCATATGGTGAAAAATGTAACCAATGTCACTGACCAATATGTATAGGAATTATTAAAAGGGAATCTAATTTGTTACGTAAACTTTCACCAAAAGCACAAATAAAATACTGGTATGTAAAGTTTTGCTAAAGGTAATACAGAAACGGCTACAATCATACATTAACAGAGAACTTCCAGAGGTTCAAGCTGGATTCAGAAGAGGCCATGGAA